GGAAGAAAGTCATGTCTGCACCCACAGAGAGGTTTGCAAAAACATGCTTGCGTCTACTGATAAGTTATACTCTGAGCCATCATAGTGTGTATTCACACGTTACCCATTGTTACAACACCTCCTGTCTGGAGTTTACAGATTGCAGCTCTCTACACATTCTTTCCTGAACCTCAGAAATAAACATTTACTCAGACTATCCAAGGCAGAAAGTCTGAAAACGCTAGTCCTCCCAGAAACACGTTTTTGTTTCAGAATAGATAGGCAGTGAAGGTTAAACGGGTTAACAAGGCTGATTCTCAAACTCAGGCAAGCATTGTATGGTAATTTTGTTAATTTTTTAGGTTGAACCACAATGCTGCTATATCTAAGGAGTGTGAATAATGTATTTCTTCACACATGAAAGAGCTTCACAGGGATGTGCTCAGTGAAATGAAGGCAGAAGCAAACATCTTAATTTTCAGACAACAGTAGCTTCTCTTGTACAGCATTCTGCTGTTGACTGACTCCCAGTAACCTAACATTCTCAAACTATGAGGGAAATTTCAATGTGCCAGTATGTTTTCTACTAGGTTTGTATTCTTCTGAACATCAAAATGGAAGTTTCAAGGGTTTATATTGCTCCAGTACAGGAGGGGCATATATCTGGACTTAACAGAGCGAAAATGTTTGCCTTCATAGCAACCATCAAGACAGAAGTCAATGAAGACTTTCAAGCAAAATGTGCTGGAGCCATTTAAAAAGAGCAAAATCATTTAAATTCAGTGACTGAAAAGACAGCAAGCCATACCCTGAAGTCTGATCTCAGATTTCCAGCTGGAAGAAATAATCACAACTTTTTTAACAATTGCAAAGAGTAAAATATCGTATAAATTCCTAGACCAGTACAACCATATGTCTCCTTGTAGCCTCTTCTATATGTGATGTTATGTGTTTGGTTTTCTACCTTGTAAAGCCAAACTTCTTTTTTAGAATTATGTTCCTTGTTTTAACATCATGGTTTGCCCTGAGAAAGTGGTAGTGAGCAATACTAACTTTGCCCTTCGCATACTAAGCAATCCTGATATTTCAGGCACTCAAGTCCCGCCCCCCCCTCCAGATAAATGCTGTCACCTTTAAATTGGAGAGCTAGATTATTTCTCTTGCTAATGAAGTAAATCCCAGTGGTCGAGATTCAACTAGAGGAAGAAAGCATGTTGTAGTGTCTTAATCCTGTCCCAAACACCTCACAGATACGTGATTAGGGTGGTCTTCTGTATGTGGTAGATGTGGGGCTGTGGTACTAAACCGAAGCTCTTCCACAGTCTCAGAACTACTGTTTAAAAGGGGGTTGAGAAGCAGCTCCTCTGCCAGCTGTACTGCAGATCACAGGGTTTTTTTACTGATTCCATAAAAAAATCTGCAGTTGGAAATCTAATGGCTTTTTTTTCAAATAGTGCTGGAAACGTAAAAAGGACCTCTGGCTTTGTGCTATGAATGACCATTATTTTACCTGGTGAACAGGGGAAAATTATTTGTACAGTAAAGAACATGTAATTACAAAGTACAAACAGTAACTGATCATTATGATTATTCTAATCCCCTACAGTGAAGAGTAGATGGTAATTAATTTCTGGACCTACCAGACTAAATATAATTACTAGAAACCACAGCAACTGTAGCCATATGCTGGTAAAACAGAGTTAGATGTTACTGTATTTGTTTATTAACCAACACTTTATCCATAATTAAACGCTACAAGTAAAACAGAAAAAAGAATCTCAGAAGAACTTCTAAAAAGCCACAGACTTAAAATGTGGCTAAAATGAATTTTAGCATTTCTACAGTATTATTAATTTCACATTCTCTGTTAACGCTAATTCAAACTTTGACTGCAGTAATTGCTGGGAATCAGAAACCTCCTTTACATGATTTACTGCCTGTGCATTTATGTGTTATTTAATACCACATATTAATTTAATACTGCCCTAATTTTGTATTGATTTGAATATTGGAACACAAGCCCAATTCCCTGGTCTCATTTTGGGGTCTACTGCTTTGAAGAATTTGTGTTCCTTCCAACAAGTGCTGCTTGTGAATGAGCTCATTGTATGAAAACACCTTATCCTCCAGAATAAGGGTTTTGGGAGGGGATAGGTAGAAAGGTTGTAAATTAGCTTTTATTTTTACTCTCATAGTCAAATTCATATTATACCTATACATAAGGATATCTCTGATCTCTGTGGAACTCTGTTCTTTGTGTCACCAACTTGGGGTTGCTTTCAGCAACACATCAGTCAATGTCTTTGTTCTGTTTCAGAAGACAGGAGGGCATCTACAAGAACTTTTAGAGTAGTCTTCAGCAGACGCAACTTTACTCGTTGATAAGGGCTGGAACAGGCAAGGACACATATAGTTTCTGTACCCGTCACCAGCTTTCCTCACCAGGAGTTGTTAGAGAAGTCTGGAGACAGATGAGCTGCATGAGTTTCCCCTTCTTTCTGAGGAAACAAGCTCTGAGGTATTCCTACAAATTCAGAGATGGTTGTTTGCAGCAAATTCACAAACAGCTGTTAAAGGCATCAAACTGAGCAAAACACTTGACTGATGAGAAAGAATACAAAATGACACCTGTTGGATATGCTCTCTGCATGTATCTTGTACTTATCTGCTTGGCCTTTGCACTTGATCTAGCTGTCGTCTCTGAAGTGCTAAAAGAGGCAGAGGCATGACTCAAACACCATGTCCATTAAATTCTTATTGTAGAATCATCATCATTTTCTTGGTGGAAAATCAAGGAAAACAGCCCCTGCTTTATTTTCAGGATTTAGTCTGAGTTGGTTTAAACTGAGCAAAGGTGATACTGGGTACCTCTGATGCAGCAGCAACCTGAACATTCCTGAGAGAACATTGACAGACTGCTACAAATGTTGTTACTGTGAAACACGAGCTGATTTTATGTCTACCAAGCTGCTATTACTAGTAGCCTTTGCAATGTCATTTCAATGTAAGCAGACATGAAATGAGTCCGCTCATACGTTAGTTACATTCAGCATGTGAGACTGCTCTGAGAATAGCAACTGGTAAATTCTGGGGTGGGGAACTGAGCAAATCCTATAATCTTAAGAAACGAGTAAAAATGTTTCTGTCTTCTTTGCAACTTGTATCCCTATTTATCATCTGACTGTCAATCTGTATTCTGTAATTACATTATATGTTCCAGTTATTTTTCAAAACTGCGCAGTTCCTTTGGAGAAATGCACTGTTAGCTTAGCAGCTATTCTCTTCTTCTGCCCTGCTGTGATGCTTTTATCACAATACTCATCATATGCTGGCAGCCACAATCTTGTGCTCCCTAAAACGGTCCCATAGAAAGGCTAAGATGAATCTTCAGATGGCTCCTTAAATTTATTCCTTTCCTCTCTTGCTATTGTTAGTAAAGCAATAAGCTTTTTTTTTTTTTTTTTTTCCTGATGCTTCCTTCTTCAGTCCTCTTGGAAGGGATGAAGAGAGAGGGTAGGAGAAAGCTTTGCAGGGTGACAGGCTTTTAACACTGAATAATCTACTGCTGCGCAGGCTAATAGATGGTGCTAGGTTTGATTAACTAATTTTGCAAATGAATATCTAAGTAAATTACTTTTGCAGATTGTTTCCAGTGATTCTTTCTTTCATCTCCTCTTTGAATAGTTTCATACTGACTCTTGCTGCTGATGATAAGAATTCATATAAAACCTTAGGGTATATATTTCATAGTAAATATATCTGGTATTATCTTATACAAGTAAACCCTCCCCCTCACGCACATCTTATTTAAAGGTACATAGTTATAGTTTCAAAATAATTTTTTTTTTCAGAAGTTTTAAAGTCATATGGGAATGCAATTTCCATTCATGCTTAGCTCATGGTTTTAAAAGACACTCAGATACTTATGTAACTGGGCATGCCTATAAAGGATTTTCAAAGATTACAAAGAAAGACAGACAGACATATTTTCATTGCAAACAAACACCTGATTGGCCCAAGATGTCTTTGAAAAATCTTAAATGCCTATAGTCTATAGAGATCCAATCCTTTTACAGAGCTAATACAAGACTGGGACTGAAAATGTAAGATTTTTTCTTTATTACTTGAAAGTAAAATATTTTCCTTTAAACCAAAATATCCTGTGATGTATTTATGCAAATACCTCTATACCCACATTCCACATAATAAGGAAATACATCATTCTTTGTCAAGAAGTCATGGTCTTAACCTATACTCTGTACCCATCTCATTGTCCATAGATCACTACACACTCAAATGTTTGTATTTCCTTAGGTGTTTGCCTTTAAAAGATAATCTTCATACACCATCCACAGCCTGTGTTCCCTTGGCTCAGCTGAATAAAGCTGTGTCTGGACAGCATAACTTACATATTTGCTGTCAAACCACTACAGTGCTGCTAATGCTCAACACATCAGCTATCACATTATCCCCTCTCTGAAACATTACATGAGCTTTTCCATGTATTCCTGAATCACATTAATTTCCAAGTCTTCACTTTTAAGTACTTCATAACATTTCCCTTAAATACATTGTTTCACCTCTTTTCTTACTTCTTGGTTCTTCTGCCTCTAACCTCCATCACTTCTTTAATCACTTAGCACCTTCTGCCCTCTTGCCCCGACACAGGTTTCATGTTTGTCTGCCAATTAAGTGTTCACTCATTTTTCTTCCTTTAAACTTCTCCTTAAAACCCTTCTTCTCACCTTCCAGCATATAATTATCTGACAGCAATTTATCAGGAGTGGGCAGAGGCTACATGGGTGTCCCTTCCACCCTCTCATACATGCAAAGTCAAATAATTCATTCTGAAGCCCCACAGACATTTTTAAATAATAGCCAGTGACCTCTGCTTCCTCCTGTACAATTCTGCAGAACTGGGCTCCCACTGTGGATGAGGCACGGGCAGGAGAGGAAGAGCATGACAGCTGTGTTGCCTCTGAGTAGGAGAAATGAGAAATATATATTTCAGTTCCACTTACCGGTTCCTATTGCTAGAAATCCAATCCGAGATTAATGTTGCAGCCTGCTGGTGACAGTGTTTGTTACCAAAGCTGCAGGCCAACATGATGACTTCCCGACGCAACTCTCTGTCCAAATTCAAGAAAGCAATAAGGCTGCATTAATTAATGAATGTGTTTGAATGTTTACAAGAAATTATTTCTTATAATAATGGCAGCAACTGATAGTTGGGCAATATATCAAAGATAATCCAGCTATACACTTAAGGCCTACAGCTGCTGCAACAGTTAAAGAAAGGTTGTGAACCAAAACCAGCCCCCATTTACACTTATGCACTCTTCCTGACCTCTGTGGTCACATAAATCCAATTTCTTAAATATCTAGTGCAGTCAAACTTTAAATTAAGGCTTAGGAAATCATGTTCTCCAAATTCAGGAAAAAGGAATTAATCTCACAGCATCTTGCTCCTCTCCTTCTAACCCAGAAAGGAAAAACAGAAGGAAGACAAAGCTAGGAAGTATGACATGCTAAAGATTAAACCAAATTTTAGGAAACTGCATTATTACAACTATATCCTGCAAACAAACAATAATAAAAAAATAAATAACAGTACTCATGTTGATAGGATGCTTGAACAAGCGATTTGTTTAAATTATTCGTTGGCCATCCAAGCTTGAGATACATTGATGCAACTTGTCTTAAAATATACTCCTGAGGGGGAAAAGAAAAATATATTCAGTGTTAATATTTATTTTTTATTTGAAATTGAAATAAACTATTGAGTTTTTTTTCTCTCTTTTTTACCCGCAAATAATGTCCTACTTTTCAAAGGTTTTGATTTGCATTTAGCAAAGCAACTTGTCCACACATAATCCTCCTTCACTGCTATAGTGGTAAGTAATCTATAGAACAGCTATTTGATTAGATGCCTAGGATAAGACAATTTACTGTTATACACCTCATCAATTTAAGAAGAGTTTCCTACATGCTATTTTGAACTCACAATACCAGCCCAAAAAGTTGCAAGAGCATCAACAGCTCAATTTCTACTCTATGGCCAATCTCGACTACACCATACATGTCCACTTTCAAAAGAGTATTGTTTTAATATCCATAGGCATGGCAAAAACATCACTTAAGTACAGTCAATTGACTTCAGAATACCAAACAATGTGGATGCAAATAAGCTTTGTACATTTAATGACACTATGTTTTAAGTTTACATTCTCAGTGTGCTTAAAGAACAAAACAAGCCCAAGATGTATTTTAGCTTACTTTTACTTTTTATACAGGAGACATATTTACATATTCTGGTCAGTTGTGAAGAAAACCACTGTCATTGTATTCAGCGTAATCTTTTGCCAGTGGAATTTACTGATTAGAAAAAGGGAAATGAGATATAAAAACCGCATAGGAGAGCATCTATTTTATTATTGTGGATGCACGGGCATGTATATACGATGTCAACACAAAAGGAGATTCATAGTGCAGCTTTCTCTAGCAGATATGTTATTCAGTGACTAAAAAGACTTTTTATTTCCCCTGCTATCACCTCTGCTTTCAAAGTTCTCATCAGTAGTGATAAAACACAACCCAGCCATGAATTTTACTGGTTTCATTTATTAAAATTGTGTTTTCATTACACAGCCATGTTTAAGAGTGAAATAACAACGGCAGACTTGTAAGAATTTTTCTGTGCAGTTAACAACAGACCTAGCATGCAAGTTATTTTCACATCATTTTATATTATGGCTCTGGTTTGCATGTAGGCTTACACTGTAGGTTCATAAAGAAAGAATCTCAATGTGTCTTTATTAATCTATAGTATATGTCCCACAAAAATAATTTCCCATGTGAGCAGGTAGCTCTGCGTATGTGAGTATATATATACACACACATATATCTAAATACTTCTACATATACACATACATCTAGCCACCTCTAGCTTCCTGCTTTCTAAGCATGTGTGTCTCTGGACACACACACAAGCCAATACAGGTTTAAGAAGATAAAAGCACCTTGAAGAATTTCAGGCTTTAGAGAGTTCCTTCATTTGAAGGCTTTACAAAATTCCATAAAATTACAGTATGTTGGCCACTGAAAAGATGCAGATTATATGAAATTCATAGTGAATTAAAAAAACCCCAAGAGTTCAAAATTGTCACTGGCTGCAATCAGATCCCATGTACTTCATCAAACATGCTTCAGCGTAGCTAGGATTTTTTTTTTTTTTTACTTTAGGTAAAATGTTAAAATGTTTGTCTTGTCTATCTTAATTATCAACTGCTAGCTGTTACTGCTGTCCCTTCGGACCCAATTATGAATGGGCTTCTGACTCAATGCTGATCTAATCCTTGTTACTTAAGGCAACTGCATTGAATTCATCATGGCTTTTTGGATGCAATAATGACTACAAATCTTTACTTCGGCTGCATGCATCCTGTTCAGTTGTGCCTGCATTTGGTGTCCTTGCTGTGCTTGGCCATCAATCTAAATATCGCCACGGGGATCCTCAAAAGAGAAAATCTGGAAATAGATTACTTTGGCTCTTTTTAGTGAAATACTTTATTTGTCATAATATTTCATAGGAGAAATAATTACTTTTCCTTCTACTAATCATATATGCCTCAAACAACAGTTATCACTGTTCAGATGCAAATGAACCAAAGCTTGACAATTGCTATCTTTAAATAAAGAATAATTAGGAAGAAAGCTAATAACCCTAGGTTATTTACTATATCTGACTGGAGAACAGTTCAACTCTTGGCAGAGAGAGAGAGAGAAAGGGGGGGAAGAGAAAGAGTAAGAAAAGAAAGATAAAAGAAAGAGAGCAAAGAAAGAGATAAAACAAAGAAGAGAAAGGGAAAGCAGGAGAAAGAAGGGGAGAAGGGGAGCTCTTACATTGAAGATGTTGTAGTTTTCTGTGCGGTCCAGCAATTTATCTAGAGGATAAAGAGCTCGGCTGGCAGCATGCCAAGGCAGAAAATCCTTCTCCTCTGAAAGATATCTGAGAATCTCCAAAGGAATATTCTGAGGCAAATAACCAGCTCTGCAAAATAAAAGAAGTTACTATTAAATTGTTTTTGCAGAAGATATATGATGAGACAAAAATTACTTTTTTTTCCAAATTAAATTAAAAGGCAGAAAAACACAATAAGCTTATTACATTCTAATGACATCAAAGTCAACCTTATAAAAAAAGGCAACTGACGGTCTCTCCCAACACATGTGCAAGCACAGTTACTGAACAAAGGCAGGCATGAAGACATATGAAAGAAAACTGGACAAGTTATACCACTTTTTAAGGATTCCTGAAGCTATAAAAGACATGAACAATGAAGTAACTGACTTTAAGAAAAACAAACAAACAAACAAACAAAAACCCCGAAAGGAAGGTGCTGCTTTGATCATTTGTAAGATGTAAAATCAAGAAACCAAGGCATTTTGCTTCAGAGAACATTTCTAGTGGGCACGGGCAATTAGTAAGAACTAATGGAGAAGAAGCATCCTTTAGTTTCACAGTTCTCCTCCCCACTCTTTTCTCTGTCCTTTAGAGTTGCCTTGTCTTCTATCTACCTTAAGTCATTTTGGCATGACTTATTTTATTAAGCTGAAGTGGCACTCAGTGACATCTCTTTGGTTAAGGATGTTTCACCACTTTCCACATAAACTATGTTTTTTTTCAGGCAGTTATAAATCAATCAGCTAGAATTTTGCCCTATTCTTTTACACTCATGAAGGACCTCTCTTTGGAAAGAGTTTAGCAGGGTTTCAGGAAGGCTTTTTAAATTAATAGCTAAAAGTAAACAAGTAAAATGCAACACAGACAAAAGCATTTGAAAGCTGCTTTTTAAAACTGAGTACTGGAAACATCAAGCTTTAGGATTTGCGCTCATGTTCTTTTTCAGAACAGCATTTTCTCTTTACTATCCAGACTGCAGAAACCAAGTGTAACGCTGTGGGTGTGAACTTTCCAGAAACACACAGGTCTATTCTCCTGATGCATGTGTTTAAATCCCAAAGGAGTTCTCTACCTGCCCAGAAAGGAGATAATGATTCTGTTTTCATTAAACACTTAAAAGTCAGTAAGTTGGAATCCACAAGCTTCAATTCAACACAGGCTACAGTATGATATATCTTCATAGACAATTTTTGCTCCTTGTTGGTTGCAAATGTTCCCCTTAATTTCCATCACTGTCTGGGGAAGAGATGCATGCATATAGCAAAGAAAATTACACAGATTACTATGGAAATGAACCTATAAATACATATTGACATAAATGTTGATCTCAGTTGTAACAGCAGATAAAACCTACTTTGCTAAAATATTTGAAATAATATATTTTTATTTTTGGTATGGTCCAAGACCACAGTTTCCTTGCAAGGTGCACCACATCCATGCAAGCCATTGTTTTTCGCACTCTGTATAGGAAGAATTACACCCTGTTTCCTTCATGTTCTAAGGAAAAAAATAAGTTCATGTAACAGCTTTCAAAAGCATCTATCACATGACCACATGATGACCCACTCTCTAGTCTGCTTCCTGTCATCTTTGTTCTCAACTCCAGTTACAGCACATAGTCAAGCAAGAAAAACAAGATCACTTGGGGAGCTCACTCAGGAACCAAGCAGATATGAAAACTAGAACGGGGATGCTCTGAGAGTGGGTGGCAGACAGAGTTCCATGCATCTGAAGACAGAAAAAGTAAGATAACTATAAATTACTCTATCTGATAGGTCTTTCTTATTTCTGAAGCAGCAGAATACCATCAAGATGAGTTCTAGGTCTTTAATACTTTGTAAAGATGTGTGACCATAATTAATGGAGCCAGAAGCAAGCTAGATGCTTGGAGATAATGTTAGCAAAGAGGTAAACTAGCTTGAAGTTGCATAAATGTAATTAGTTCCTAATGGGATTTGTGATTATTGTTACTGATAATTTGATTGACATGAGAAAGTGTGGAATAAGGAACAAGAGGAATAGCTCTAGGAAAAGTGGTGCTTAAGGAATAAACAGACAAATGTTTATTATAGCTGCACTAATCGACATTTAGGATCATGCTTCTGAAATTAAACCTCTCTATGCTAAAGCACAGAAGGGAAATCATCACTGCAAAACAAACATTATTTCTTTTCAAGCTTAACTTCTCCATAAAGACAAGTAAGAAGAGAACTCAGAGAGATCTATCACTCATTCCTGAGCTTCCAGCCTTCCTAATCAGTTTCAAAATCATGATTCTTAGCTGATGATACTTATCCTGCTCACAGTAGAAACTGTTACTCTCGTCACTCACTGCTTCTAACTTCCAAATTTATCAGCACATTTGATTCTGACTGCCTTTCCTCTGTTCCCCACTTCTCCCAATGTTTCCCTAAGGGTATATTCTTTCTCACAAAAACAGATCCTAGCAAAGTCTGAGCTTCTCCTGTTCACTCCTGAACTTCCTTCTCTTTCTGGGTATGACCCTTGAAGAGCTTACGCACAGTATCATCAAAATCAACCCCCCACATCAACAGAATCAGTCCTGAGAGCAGGGACAGGGATGAGGGGAGATCCTTGTGGATGACACTATTATATAAACAACAAATTCATCACTTCGGATCACGGTTTTGAGGGAAGGGGTCATGGCTGCTACAATCAATGTTAAACTCTGTCAACACATGTTGCTCAGATGTGCTTCATGTACAGCTGCAAGGCTGAACCTCTGAGGGAGCTTGAGCAGAGACATTTGTAAAATCCTCTTACAGTGGCAGTCAAGATAGGAGCACTTCCCTGGAGAAAACAGAAGTGCTTCAGGAACCTTACCTTCACAAAATGTTCTATTTATTCTACACTGTTTTATTGTATGAATGCCTTCAGAAAACCATGATAGCTCAATTCTTTCACCCTCAGCCACTAAGCCATGTTCTGAACCTCTTACTCCAAATACACTGCACTCACAGACTATTTGCCACTAGTTTCGGTCAAGAAGTACTGACAAATACATTCATTGTTTTACCTTTTTGTGTAAAATGTGGTGTATAACATATATGTTAGAAAATGTTAAATGTATACTACAGCTTAAAAAGCTTGACGAATATTTTCATTCAGAAAGAAAGCAAAGAGTTCAATAATAGCAATGCTAAATACTAAGATTGGTAATTTTTGATATTCATAGCTAAGAAAACAAGATATAAGGAGAAGCTCTCATCCTGAATCATAAATGAGATAAACCATGAACCACAAAACCACATACGGCTAAAAAAAATCCTAAAATACAGATCACAAGTCTAGGAGCTGTGTGTATTGTCCTTGGAAGTCGCTTGACTATCATGAGAACCAGATCCGCAGAAGTCAGAAACTAGCCAAAGCAGCAGGTCTGTGCAGTGAGCTATGCTCTAGTATTCTTCATCTGAGCAATTGATTTCTTAAGCTTTGTATTTCAGAGTACAATCATATTCTTTTACTTTACACTAAAAGCTTGTCCAGTGCTAGGAGTGATTTCAAGACTCCTCTTTCCCAGGGGATACTGCATCCAGCAAGACGTACTGGCTCACTCAAACAGTGGCAAACTCACTCACCAGCTAAGGGGTGCTGGCATGCTTCTAGGATTCTCCTTCACTAGCCTGGAAGAACTAGGTTCAAAGATTGTTACACAAGATCTGATCAGGAAAAGCAAAATTTTTGCAACTAGCAAAGTAAGAAGTAATGGTCATGAGTGTCACAGAACTTGTGACAAACATACACCACTAGCTGATGAAAACTGCTAATTGAGAACACCTGTGTCATTTATGAAGCAGGATAGCAACCAAGACAAGGAAAGAAGGCAGGACAAAGAATGAGTCTCTTCTGAATAACTCTGTAAACTCTGATGGAAAACCACAGACCTGGAGAAACACTAAACAGAAATGTTTAACAATTATCATTACAACAATAAGAAAAGTAACAGTAGCAACCTTCCCATCAAAGGGAAAAATGTAAAATAATTTCCCTGTCATGCAATTGGTAAAATTTATTCAAAGGCACTATAGAATATAACATTAGTACATACTCTACACACAGAGCTTTATTTATCACCCTTCTAAAAATGTCACTGGAAGGTCAGTGACAGAAAACCTTATTTTTCTTATGTCTTTTTAGCCATCAATCATATTGCTATCCTTAAAGACCAGCAAAACTACTATCAGATATTGCCTGCCAAAGTCCAAATGCATGAGAGCCAGGGCTAAGAGACACGGCTCTTTTCCAACTGTTGTGGTTTACCCCAGCCAGCAATACACACCAACCAGCTGCTCGCTCACTCCCCCACTCCAGTAGGATGGGGAGAGACTCAGAGGGGTAAAAGTGAGAAAATTGGTGGGTTGAGATAAAGACAGTTTAATAAGTAAAGCAAAAGCTGCACGAACAAGCAAAGCAAAGCAAACCAAGGGATTCATCCACTACTTCCCATCATCAAGCAGGTGTTCAGCCATCTCCAGGAAAGCTGGGCTCCATCACACATAATGGTAACTTGGGAAGACAAATGCCACCACTCCGAATGTCCCCCCCTTCTTTCTTCCCCCAGCTTTATATGCTGAGCATGACGTCATATGGTATGGAATATCCCTTTGGTCAGTTGGGGTCAGCTGTCCCGGTTGTGTCTCCTCCCATCTTCTTGTGCACCCCAGCCTCCTTGCTGGTGGGGTGGTGTGAGAAGGAGAAAAGGTCTTGACTCTATGTAAGCACTGCTCATCAATAATGAAAACATCCCTGTGTTATCAACACTCTTCTCAGCATAAATCCAAAATATAGCCCCATGCTAGCTACTATGAAGAAAACTAACTCTGTCCCAGCCAAAACCAGCACACCAGCTTAGCCATCTCAGAGGAAAATTGAAATACCATCTACTACTTGGGGAATAACTGATTATGGGCTATACTGAAACCAGGTAACAAACATGTATTAGAAACACGGCACCACATGAGGTCTGTCTTATCATCTGTGTTCCTAATTTCACAGTTGCCTGCTGTACTAAGGTGGAGAACAGGAGAACAGGAACACACACTAGCAAAGAGATCTGTTTCAGTTATTAAACAAATTACCTCTAGACAAGCATCCTGGTCCAGCAGGTTTTTCATGTCTAAAGAGGCTGCTGATGAACTGTGGTGAAAAGGTGATTTCCCATTTTTACGACAAGGGCAGAGGTGGAAAAAGACCTTTAAAACCTTATAGATAGATAGATAGATAGATACTAAGTGGCTTTGACATTATATAATACCATAAGCACCAACCCTTAGCTAGGTACTATCCTGCTTACACTGAAGAAATTGCTAGAGTGGCCACTGGTACAGAGAAAAGAGGCAATGAACAGAAAAAGAAAGTACTAAATGTGGTAATGAAATATCCCTCACAAAGAATTCCCACTAAAAATCTCATAGCAATCAAAAATAATCTTTAAATTACATGAGCTTTTAATGAGTCAGATAAAAGCAGGAGATCTAGATTATATTATGAAACATCAGTGTGTATTCAGCTGCATTCTGACCTTGATTTGTTCTTTACACTGAGCCACTGAACTTACGGACAGATCCCAGCACATTCATTTTCCCCTTAGGGACAAAGTACCAAATGGTAGGGTAATTGCCAAGGGAAAATTATTACTCTGTTCTGAATTATTTCTCTCATAAATCCAGCACCAGTCAAACAGACTGTCACAAAAACGACAGGGTTGCTGTACAGTGATGAGAGTCCCACATACAAGTGCACCATAAATCCCTTAGTCCCACCACTCAACAAAGTCATTATAAGTCATGTGCTTAAATCAAAATTAGAAAATCCAAGCTGGCAGCAAACTGGTCTGCATTGTTGAAACAGTGGAAATGAGGTGATTTACTTGCTGCTGCTTTAAAACTCGCCCTGCATTGTCTGTTTCTTATTAAATACGTAAAACATGAGTAGCTTTTTGTCTGGATAATTTTGAAGGGGGAGAACGCAGCCCTTCAGAACATAGACGTCAACTCAGATTAATTCCAGTTCTTTTTCTGTGTATGTGTAATATATGAATAATTAGACTACACTTGTTAACCCATAAAGGGACAGTTCAAAATAAGTTAGGACCTTTACTCATTGATTCATTCTTTACCTTTAAAGTCAAGGGTGTGGATTTATTCTAATCCACATTCACAGAGAAACTTGGTGCCAATGAACATCTACATTTAAATGTATTTGGATTTCTCTAACCCTATTCACTTCTTATGGACCTACCAAGCACTGGTGCCCCTGCTGATGTATTCAGGATACTCTTTCTTCACAGTGCTTTAACAGCAGTTCTTCGGCAGCTGAGTAAAAACAGATATGTTGAACCCTGGCATGTAGAAAAATCTTTGAGCAAGGCAACCCATGCAACAGGGAAACTCTTGTAGTCACAGATGTCACCTTCAATTCCTGCAAGACTGGGAAGCCAAAGATTAAAAATTTATGATGACTGACATCCATGTTCAACAAGGGAAACTGTAAAAATAATCTTTTCTCATGGAAAACTAATGGGCAACCTGTAAAAAGGCCCTGTGATCTCCAGTATCAAAGAATAATCTACCTCATCTTCCACTCCGAGGATTGGGTTGATTTAGGACCACATAAGGACTCTGCTTTTCTAAGACATCCAAAGTGACTCAATGGAGGCATTATGCTGTGTACCAGCTATGGACTTACATGTAAACAGGAGAGGAATGCATACTTTGATAAGTACAACAGCAAAATTTGGCTCATTTTAAGTACTAAATTTAACCAGCATTCGATCTCTCCAACATCAAAGGATTCAGAGAGTATGACAGTTTTAAGTGAAGCCTGCTTATTATTATGTTGTCTCACATGCAGAATATTTGAGGACTCTTCAAGTGGCATTCAACTCCACACAAGAGCATTTGAAGCATCCTACAAAGAATAGTTCAAATTCAATGTAATTATCAGAGTATCACCTGGCTTAAATTACCTTGCACAGTTTTAGAGTTGCCACATAAGCAAAGGCTAATATTAATTTGAATTAATCACCTTTGTTGAAAACAGTAAAAAATCCCAAACATAAAACCCTCAGTGTTTGCAAAACTGCAACAAAAATTCCTTCAAACTGGAGTTCTGTATCTCTCCTTTCCTCTTCTTCCCCATATGAAACAAAATTAATTAAAAAAGAGTAATGCAAGATGAAAAAGAATAATCTTACTGCTGAAAATTAAAACTATGCAGCAAGTTAGGTATGTCATGTTTTTCATCCTCATGAAACCCTGATTTTTGAGAGGTATGTCATTCACACACTCAATTCACTAAAGAATTTTAAATGTATTTCAGGGGCTAATAGACATCACTTTCAGATGACTCAATTATTAGAAGTGTTATTTATTTTCTTGATGATTTTGTTGGGAAGGGTAGAATGAAACAGTTCTTCTATTCCTTAAGTTGTCAACAGGCAGTGGTATCTATGAGAGCACGTTTGAGCAAATTCAAAATTGAGTTTGTTTATTACTATGCACAATACTTTTTCATATCTCTCTTTTTTCCTGCTCTAATGTTTATAATTTGCATATCAGTCAAACGAAATATGCGTTTAAAAGATAGAAACTTCATATGGGAAGTACAGAAGCCTGATCTTGAAAATACACATACAATCTGAATTTTGTTTGCCAGAATATCTACAGAATTGGATATTATTTCTGTAAAAGCAATTCCCTATAAATATATTTATAATAAAATACTCTCTGAAATTGTCATAAACCCTCACCTATTCTCTTATCTCCATTTTACAGAAAGAAAACAGACACAAACAGTTTAAGTGATTTTACCAAGATCACCTAGGAAGTCTACAGCAGAAACAGCATCCCAGGTTTCTCTAGTCCCTGTGCAGTGCCTTAGTCATAACATTGTCCTTCCTATTTGTTGCATGATTTCTGGGTAGAGTAAAACACACTACTAGCCAAACAGGAAGGAGATAAACACAACATTGATTCCCAGGACTTCTCTCAAATCTTACCCAGTGAAGGGACCTTAGTCTACAGTTTAAAACTGCTTTATAAAATGTCCAAATGAAGACCAAAAAATAACCTGCACTTTGAATTCAAAAGTTCACCCTGGCAGTACATTCTGCTAAGTGTATAGAGCATACACTGACATAGACCAGACCCCCTCTAGATAACAATGCTGGCCAACAGGAATTGGATGAGCCCAAAAAGTAGGATCATTTCTGAGAAGCAATGGTGCAGTCAGGATAAAACAGTAGGCAAAACAGTCAGTAGCTTATGGTAGCAGATTATTTTGTCTATGCTGATGAGGCACTGGCATTGTCTTTTCTAGATAGAAAAGTTGGTTCTTACCTTTTATTCATGTATCCTTTGTTGATGTTGTTACAAAGGGAAAAGACAGGGTGTTTAGAGCAGCACCTCCAGTCTCTCATGGTGGTTCACTGCTGCTACCTTGACTAAGGCAGCAGCAGGTTCTTTTGCTCTCCATACTAGTCCCGCCAGACCCTCAGAAAGAAAAGTAATGGGGTTCTGGGATAAAGGTAAGGAGGAAAATAAGCTGTTTGTTGTTAGAGAACAGGTGAGGGAGGTAGGGAAAAGGGCTGACCAGGCAGCTGAAGTGAAGAAAAAGTGGTCTATAGATGAGAGGAAGGCACAAGGAACCGGAATATGCTGGGAAGTAGAGGACAAGGTCCTCACAGAATAGTTAGATGAAGACTTCCTCCTGTCCCACTGACACACAGATTCCTGAAGCTGTATTTGTACCTCTCAGCCTCCTTTCCAAAACTCAAAGTTGCTAAGAAGCCTTCAGCAAGCTCCACTCATGCCAGTTTCCTCCTCTTGTTTAACTTCAAACTCCAAGTTAAGCATTCTCTTGAAGTGTAATTCAGACCTGTTTTAATTAATGTTCCCAAAACAAATTTCACAGACTGTTCCCTTCTTCTGTCATTACACAGCAGTCCCTGGCATCTGCACAGCAACATGGACACAGCCACAGCAAGCTGACTTCAGAGACCAACTTGAATTATAACAGACCAAGGCCATGAGTTGAAAAGACAATGGGCTAACAACCATTAGCTAAAAATAATTCTTTCACTCCCTTCAAACCACAGTCATGTTTTCCTGACAGTTTAATTTGGGTTCTTCTAAGAATAGAGTTAATGTCATTTACAAGATAAAATAATTACTGCTATAACAACGCAGAAGTACCAGAAATAACTGAAGAATAGGCAAATTTTGTGCAGATGCAGATTAACAACATCAACCACTTCTACAGTATAGGTGTATACTAGACCAAGAGCCACCCCCTGCACTAAAGACTCTGCAGAGAACTCAGACCTACAGTTTCTCTTTTGTATATGCTGAAGAGTCTTCTCCAAGTTCTTCCTCCACTCTTAGCAGGTCCATGATACTCTCACAGCATCAGCACTTCCACGAAATGTGCTGTACAATTTCCTTTACTGCTCTGGGCTACGCAACAAGATCAGACGCACATATGATACACACTACAAAAGCAGAATTGACTTTTAGTGTGCTAATTCTCAAGAACTGATTTGATTCTTCTTGTACAAGCATATGCAAATGTTAGCTGAAATGTGTATCTCAATGTAAAGCAGATATCAAGGCTGTGATATGTCACAGAACATACGGACTGACGCAGCATATGGAATGAATGACAGCTACATTAAAATATTTGTGGCTTTCTGTTTTCTCTGAAAAGGCACAGCTGCTATGGCCCACTGAGAGAATATTTATGTCAAAGAAAATCCAACAACTTTTGTAGTAAGCCATATCTAAATCAATTGCTGGTGAACCATCACCAAAATTTGCATGCCAGTGAAAGAGAGTTAATATAGCATCTGCTGAAATAATTTAGATGAGGTCTTATTTATTAAAGTAAATCTATAGCACTATTAATCAAGCATGTTACAAACTATCAATCTAATACTCACTCCCTTAGCTAGTACTCAGAGGCACTAATTAAGGGACTGCTTAACATATCTGTTGTTTGCCTCTGTGTTGAACTATCAGCAAATACAATCAGGAGTTATAATGAAGGCTAGAGTTAAACTACAGTTTATTCATTTAAATGGACCCTATATGATTGTTTATGAATACCCAAGCAAAACCAGGTCAACAACCCTGGATGTGGCTGGTGAAATTTGGAAATATTTTGAAGTACATTAATTGGGCTAAATGAGAACTTCTACCTTTGCCACCTACTTATTATTCAGCCCCAGAATTTTAAATAGGGCCTCAAATGCATTGACTTTTCCTGACATTACACTGAACAGGACCTTAAGTTACACAAACAAGTGCAACACAGAACCAGTTATCCCAGATATGTTGTAAGACTTCAAATGCTAGAACAAATGAAATCGTAATCTCTGGAGAAGGAAAACAACAATGAAGATCACTTGAACTGCACAGTTTAGTTTTGTTATGCACATATTTCCACCAGAAACTTCAGGAAAACATTCTTCCAATTTAGCAGTAATAATTCTGGATTTTATATGGAAGTGTATAAACTAGAGGCTTAGTTACAGGACAACTCTCAGTTTCCAGAAATAATATCAGCTAATCACTATGTGGGGGGGTGCTGCCTCAGGTAGCTGAGTGGTCAGATTTTTTTGCCTGAGTGGCAATACTCATCCAGGAACTGACTTAAGCAATAAGGAGAGTCGACTTTGATTTGTTGGCTTTTTCTTTTTAAGGAATAAAAAAAAACCAACAACCAACCCAAGGGATCCTAAAAACACTGTTTTCCAGATCCCAAAGGCTATGCTTGGTTAACTAAGACCTACTTTTTAACTGACCTACACTTTTAAAGTTGGTGAGAAGGTGATCTGGAGTGAGCATTAGCTTACTTTGGTATTTTACTTCTGGAATCAACCTTGGAGTCAAATGCACCAGCTGTTAAAGATTAATTTGTGTCACGGGAGAGAATCTGGATTTATATATCGAAAGGCAGGTTGACACTGCCTTTTCCCTTACTCTCAGTCTTTGGTTTTCTAGAGTCAGCAGAACTCACAGCTTGGAAAGAAGCAAGCGAAGAACTGATTCACGGCAGGAAAACAATCATCATAACTCATCATATCTATGCACAAGGTTCCTGGTTTTAACCTGCTGAATGAAATTCTGAGAGAGAGGAACTCTCTTGAAGGCCACCTGCAGCAACAAAGTCGCTCAGTTCACAGATGATTCTGAAGGTATATTTTTTGGTCATTGTTTGTTTCTGACACAGCTCCTATCACCTTAACACAATGAGCTGACTATGGTGCAGGCAAGATCAAAGGGGTGTTACACACACATTATTGTCCCTTCCGAAGAACTTATTTTAGATGACAGTAAAATAGATATCCACAGTTACATCTGATCCAACACTGAATAATACTGAATACAAATCAGACCTATTTCTGTGATGTAGTATTGGATTACATCAACCAGTTTAATGAGGGGAAGTGAATATGAAGATTTAGAGCCCAGCAAGGAAGAACCAGGGGTGGTACAACACTCCTGACATTAGGAGAGTAATTTATCTTACCCTGTGTGGTTAAGTGGCTTTGACAGGTCAGGTGAATGCCTCTTCCACTAACTGGCAGTGCATTGCAAGCTAACAAGCTCAGATTTACAGGTCTGCCTTTGGGATGCCTAAAGTAAAGTGAGAAGCATCCCACCTCACCTACTCAGTAACTGAGCCCTTATCCTGTGGAAAGAGAAAGACAGGAGAAGCTGACAACATTACTCACACTCTCAAGAAACAGCAGGATCTTTCTTACTTCCTGTGACACTACTCATTTTCACCTCTGTCTTTACCAGCACTGTTGGGCCCCAGGCCTTGGAAAGAAAAATCCAGGCTGATGCAAACACAGACCCACCATCAGTGAAGGAAGAGTTGGTATGTGAACTATTACAGGAGCTTGACTCCTACAAATCAATGGGCCTTGACAATATCAACCTGATGGTGTTAAGAGAGCTGGCTGATGCTGCAAGGCCACTCTCCATAATCTCTGAGAAGTCATGGAGATTGAGGGATGTCCCAGAAGACTGGAAGAAGGCTAGTGTCATGCCCATCTACAAGAAGGGCTTAAAGGAGGATCCAGGAAATTATAGGCGCATCAGTCTGACTTCAGTCCCTGGGAAAGTTATGGAACAAATCCTTCCAGGGGCTACCACAAGTCAAACAAAGCACGCAATTGGGAAAAGCCAGCACAGATTCACCAAGGGCAAATCATGCTTGACAAACCTGATCGACTTCTATGACAGAGTAACCTGCTTGGCGGATGTGGGGCAAACAGTGGACATTGTCTACCTGGATCTCTCCAAGGCTTTTGACATGGTTTCCTATAGCCTCCTCCTAGACAAACTGACGGGTTACGGTCCAGACAAGTGGTCTGTGTGGTGGGTGGGGAACTGGCTGACAGGCCGCACCCAGAGGGTGGTGGCAAATAGCTCCATTTCAAACTGGCAACCTGGCACAAGTGGGGTACCTCAGGGATCCACATTGGGCTCAATGATGTTTAAAATCTTCATAAGGATCTGGATGATGGGATCAAGTGTACTTTGAGGAAGCTTGCTGATGATACCAAACTCAGTGGGGAAGTGGACACTTCGGAAGGGAGAGCCTCCATGCAGGAAGACCTGGATAGGCTGGAAGAGTGGGCTCACAAGAACCTTACGAAGTCCAACAAAGTGTACGGTCTCGCATCTAGGAAAACATAACCCAGAAGCCCAGCACAGGCTGGGATCTACCCAGCTGGGTAGCAGCTCTGTGGAAAGGGATCTGGGGTCCTGGTGGACAACAAGCTCAATATGAGTGAACAGTGTGCTGCTGTGCAAAGAAAGCCAACAGGATGCTGGCTTGCATCAACAGGGTATCACCAGCAGACATAAAGAAGTCATTATCCCTCTCTACTCATCACTTGTCAGGCCACACCTGGAATACTGTGTTCAGTTTTGGTACCTGCTACACAAAAAAGACGTGGACAGGCTGAAGAGAGTCCAGAGAAGGGCCACAAAGATGATCACAAGACTGGGAGGCTTGGCATATGAGGAAAGGCTGAGAGAACTGGGTTTGTTCAGCCTTGAGAAAAGAAGGCTTACAGGAGACCTTATCACCATGCTCCAGTATTTGAAGGGTGGCTACAAAGAAGATGGAGACTCCATTTTTATAAGGAGTCACATGGAAAAGATGAGAGGTAATAGGTACAAGTAGCTCCTGGGGAGATTCCAGCTGGACACAAGAGGAAAATCTTTCACAATAAAAACAATCAGCCATTGGAAAAATCTCCATAGGAAAGTGGTGGATTCCCCAACACTGGACATTTTTAAGACTCAGCTGGACAGGGTGCTGGGCCACCTTGTCTAGGCTGTGCTTTTGCCAATAAAGGTTGGACCCAATGATCCCTGAGGTCCCTTCCAACCTGGTATTCTATGATCCTATTTTGACTGCCCTGTGCTCAGTTTAAGGTTAGAGGAGAACCAAAGTTCTATTTGTCTTCTCTTGGCTTTCTCAGTCAATATATCCCATTTACTACAATCAACATATTTTCTAATTGCACTGAAATTTCACATAAAACAACCCCAAAAGATAAAGGATATTCAAGAACAAGGGAAGAGAGAAGGCCAAGGTTCTATTCTTGCTCAAGAATTTGGGGCATGTATTTCCTTACTCTATGTTGTTACTGCAAAGGCTACAGCTCTCCAGATCCTCAGGGTGCATGCATGCACCACAGCTGAGAACAGAATCACGCTTAAAAATCTGAAAAACAAACAAGCTTGCAAGAATTCAAACACAGTGGGCAAGTTGCAGCTTTCTTTTATTGTTATTATCCAATTCAACTCTGCTTGATTAATTTTATGGAATCAAAACACACCAAGAAGGAAGAAGGAGAAATATATTTCCATATAAAACGGGCAAAACTTTATGAAATTAAAGTTATAGAGCTTAAAAATATTCTTTGGAGGTATCAATTCATTTATATTGTTTATTTTTGAGAAATTATTGTGCTGGACAATAAAAGGATAATAAACACTTTGGAGGAATTACATCAAACACACCTTTAAACAAACAAACAAAAAAAAGTGGTGCTTCAAATTAGTTTATATGAGCAATTTTTTCATCTTTTCCAGATCTAAATATTATTAAATTTTACTGAAGATAAGACCTGTTCTTGTTCCACAAAAAAAATAAATTAGCAGTAAATCTACACAGAAATATCATATTAGGATATATCATATTAGAACAGTGGAAAACTTGAGTCAAACCCTTCTGTTGTGGAGTGGACATTATCTGCATCAAGTTCAACAACACACTAGAAAGTTCTTCAGAAGTTTCTAAGAAGGATGGGATATTTTGAAGAATAACAGTCTCTTCAGTACAGTAAAAAACCCTGGTTATGTTGGAA